GGCGTAACTGGGCACCGCAAGACAGAGGTTCCTAGGGTTGTGTCTGGGACCAGAGATATTGGCTAGTGTCATTCGGCTGCACAATCCAAGGAGCAGCTTACATGCCAGAGGCTGTGCGTGAACAGCCCAGGAGTGAGGGTTCTCACAGCAGAGCAGGGTAAGGCTGGCTCCCAGAGTCAAGGATTGGAGTGACTTAGCAGATCACTGGTCCAGATAACACCCGAAGGGAACGTCACAACCTGCAACATTGACTCTGTGTCTTAGGGGTGGTATTTGGCAGGACAAATGAGGTTCATGGGTCTTTCTCTCACGCCTCTCTTCTCCCCAGTCCTTCAGTCAATTGCAGCCAGATTGAGAAAAACTATTTTCGTTTCCACAGACCTGTAGTGCATGCACCAATGCAGCTGTTATGTCTTGGTTGTGTGAGTAAAACACAGAATCATAGAAATGTAGGGCAGGATGGGACCCTGAGATATCATCAAGTCCCACCCCCTGTGCTGTGGCAGGACCAAGCAAAGCTAGACTATCCCTGTCCAAATTGTTTTTAAACGCTTCCAATGATGGGGACTCCATAAACTCCCTTGGAAGCCTTTTCCAAAGATTAACAACCCTTAGAATTAGAAAGTTTTTTCTGATAGCTAACCTAAATCTCCATTTGCTGCAGATTAAGCCTGTTACTTATTGTCCTACCTTCAGAGGACATGGAGAACAACTGATCAGTCTTCTTTAATACAGCCCTTGACATATTGGAAGAATATTATCAGGTCCCACCTCGGTCTTCTTTTCTCAAGACTACATATACCCAGTTTTTCAACCTTTCCTCGTAGACCAGGTTTTTTAAACCTTTTATCATGTTTGTTGCTCTCCTCTTTCTGGGGCCTCACCAGTTCTGAGTAGAGTGGGACAATTACTTCTACATCTCTAAGACCTCTGCCCTGGCGCAGACGCAGGAGCAGTAGTGTGTCAAGGCATCTGCTGCCTGTTACACACACATGCGCCATCTTGTGGAAACTTTACTTCTTTTCCTTCTTGTTTTGTTTTCCTCCTAAAATAAAAGTCATTTGTATTGAAAGTGCAGGATTGTTCCCTGGATATGGAAAACCTTAATGAGTGTGTTATGTTAATTGCTCAAAGAAAACTCAACACATCAATTTGAAAACATGGACCAAATTAATTTCTCAAAAGTTTAGTTTAAGAAGCACAGGAATTGCCAGGGTAAATCCGACCCAAGGTCCACCTAGTATCCTGTCTCAGATAGTGGTCAGTCCCAAATATTTCAGAGAAAAGTGCCACCACCCCTCCATCACCATCTGCACCCCCACCATGAAGGAATCTTCCTAATCCCTAATGGCTAAAATGGGGTTTAAACCCCGAAGCAGCATTTTTAATATCTCTTCCAAAATATGTGTTAGCATTAACTCTTGTAACTTTGACTATTCTCGTCCTTCCTATAAGCATCCGGTCCCTTTTGAATCTTGCTATATTCTTGGCCTCAACATCTTTCTGTGGCAGTGAGTTCCACGGGCTAATTATGTGTTGTGTGAAAAAGTATTGCCTTGTATTGGATTTGAATTTGCCAAACCCCCATTTTAATTTCTTTGAATGTCCCTAGTAGCACCTTACTCCTTGAGTGGTTCAATTTATTTCAGTGGGGCTCCTCGTGGAATACTGTGCAAATCAATGGGAATAAGGGGTGGGGCAGACTCTAGTCCTATGTATTTGCTTGGGCCAGATTCTGACGTCCCTTCTACTTGTATTAATCCAGAGTGATTCCACAGAGTAGCTGAGAGAAGGAACAATCCTCAAGAGGTGACCACACCACAAATGCATCTACAGCAGAGCATTCTTCTGCCACAGATTTTGCAACGTGTGTGGCCACATCTGTGCGGAAACACAGGGTTCTGAGCTCTGCACAGACATGGAGCTTATTTCCCCCTCGCTTGTTTTCAAATGTAAATGTGTTCAATATCTCACAACTGGATCATTACCTCTTCTCAGGCAAAACCCCCACTGAAACCTATGAGCTTGAGTGTAATGACGAGTGACTTTGTGGAAGAACAGCACTTGTTAGCTCTGTTCAGTTAGAGGAGACCCTCTCACTGAGGCTCTTGCACGGTATTTTGTATTTCTTTCCCAAGGAAGAGCATTAGAATCATAGAATCATAGAATATCAGGGTTGGAAGGGACCTCAGGAGGTCATCTAGTCCAACCCCCTGCTCAAAAGCAGGACCCATCCCCAATTAAATCATCCCAGCCAGGGCTTTCATAGAATCATAGAATATCAGGGTTGGAAGGGACCCCAGAAGGTCATCTAGTCCAACTCCCTGCTCGAAGCAGGACCAATTGTCAAGCCTGACCTTAAAAACTTCTAAGGAAGGAGATTCCACCACCTCCCTAGGCAACGCATTCCAGTGTTTCACCACCCTGCTAGTGAAAAAGTTTTTCCTAATATCCAACCTAAACCTCCCCCACTGCAACTTGAGACCATTACTCCTTGTCCTGTCCTCTTCCACCACTGAGAATAGTCTAGAACCATCCTCTCTGGAACCACCTCTCAGGTAGTTGAAAGCAGCTATCAAATCCCCCCTCATTCTTCTCTTCCTAGACTAAACAATCCCAGTTCCCTCAGCCTCTCCTCATAAGTCATGTGTTCCAGACCCCTAATCATTTTTGTTGCCCTTCGCTGGACTCTCTCCAATTTATCCACATCCTTCTTGTAGTGTGGGGCCCAAAACTGGACACAGTACTCCAGATGAGGCCTCACCAATGTCGAATAGAGGGGGACGATCACGTCCCTCAATCTGCTCACTATGCCCCTACTTATACATCCCAAAATGCCACTGGCTTTCTTGGCAACAAGGGCACACTGCTGACTCATATCCAGCTTCTTGTCCACTGTCACCCCTAGGTCCTTTTCCGCAGAACTGCTGCCTAGCCATTCGGTCCCTAGTCTGTAGCTGTGCATTGGGTTCTTCCGTCCTAAGTGCAGGACCCTGCACTTATCCTTATTGAACCTCATCAGATTTCTTTTGGCCCAATCCTCCAATTTGTCTAGGTCCCTCTGTATCCTATCCCTGCCCTCCAGCGTGTCTACCACTCCTCCCAGTTTAGTATCATCCGCAAATTTGCTGAAAGTGCAATCCACACCATCCTCCAGATCATTTATGAAGATATTGAACAAAACCGGCCCCAGGACTGACCCCTGGGGCACTCCACTTGACACCGGCTGCCAACTAGACATGGAGCCATTGATCACTACCCGTTGAGCCCGACAATCTAGCCAACTTTCTACCCACCTTATAGTGCATTCATCCAGCCCATACTTCTTTAACTTGCTGACAAGAATACTGTGGGAGACCGTGAAGAAAGCTTTGCTAAAGTCAAGATACAATACATCCACTGCTTTCCCTTCATCCACAGAACCAGTAATCTCATCACAGAAGGCGATTAGATTAGTCAGGCATGACCATCCCTTGGTGAATCCATGCTGACTGTTCCTGATCACTTTCCTCTCATGTAAGTGCTTCAGGATTGATTCCTTGAGGACCTGCTCCATGATTTTTCCGGGGACTGAAGTGAGGCTGACTGGCCTGTAGTTCCCAGGATCCTCCTTCTTCCCTTTTTTAAAGATTGGCACTACATTAGCCTTTTTCCAGTCATCCGGGACTTCCCCCGTTCGCCACGAGTTTTCAAAGATAATGGCCAATGGCTCTGCAGTCACAGCCGCCAGTTCCTTTAGCACTCTCGGATGCAACTCATCCGGCCCCATGGACTTGTGCACGTCCAGCTTTTCTAAATAGTCCCTAACCACCTCTTTCTCCACAGAGGGCTGGCTCTCTACTCCCCATGTTGTGATGCCCAGCGCAGCAGTCTGGGAGCTGACCTTGTTCGTGAAGACAGAGGCAAAAAAGCATTGAGTACATTAGCTTTTTTCACATCCTCTGTCACTAGGATGCCTCCCTCATTCATTAAGGGGCCCACACTTTCCTTGGCTTTCTTCTTGTTGCTAACATACCTGAAGAAACCCTTCTTGTTACTCTTAACATCTCTCGCTAGCTGCAGCTCCAGGTGCGATTTGGCCCTCCTGATATCATTCCTACATGCCCGAGCAATATTTTTATACTCTTCCCTGGTCATATGTCCAACCTTCCACTTCTTGTAAGCTTCTTTTTTATGCTTAGGATCCGCTAGGATTTCACCGTTAAGTCAAGCTGGTCGCCTGCCATATTTACTATTCTTTCGACACATCGGGATGGTTTGTCCCTGTAACCTCAACAGGGATTCCTTGAAATACAGCCAGCTCTCCTGGACTCCTTTCCCCTTCATGTTAGTCCCCCAAGGGATCCTACCCATCCGTTCCCTGAGGGAATCGAAGTCTGCTTTCCTGAAGTCCAGGGTCCGTATCCTGCTGCTTACCTTTCTTCCCTGTGTCAGGATCCTGAACTCAACCAACTCATGGTCACTGCCTCCCAGATTCCCATCCACTTTTGCTTCCCCTACTAATTCTTCCCGGTTTGTGAGCAGCAGGTCAAGAAAAGCTCCCCCCCTAGTTGACTCCTAGTTGGCTCCTCTAGCACTTGCGCCAGGAAATTGTCCCCTACGCTTTCCAAAAACTTCCTGGATTGTCTATGCACCGGTGTATTGCTCTCCCAGCAGATATCAGGAAAATTAAAGTCACCCATGAGAACCAGGGCCTGCGATCTAGTAGCTTCCGTGAGCTGCCGGAAGAAAGCCTCATCCACCTCATCCCCCTGGTCCGGTGGTCTATAGCAGACTCCCACCACTACATCACTCCTGTTGCTCACACTTCTAAACTTAATCCAGAGGCACTCAGGTTTTTCTGCAGTTTCGTACCGGAGCTCTGAGCAGTCATACTGCTCCCTTACATACAGTGCTACTCCCCCACCTTTTCTGCCCTGCCTGTCCTTCCTGAACAGTTTACAACCTTCCATGATAGTACTCCAGCGAATTAGTAACACAGAACAAGCCAGGAAACTTACAGTGGCATCTTCAGAACAGGAAGCGATTACAAAGTCATCAAAAGGGCTCCACTTGATGTCCAGGACATTTCCTTTGTGCCCGCACACCCTGGGGTAGTGAGGATCAAGCTTGCCTGTCTGAAAAGAACAGCAAGGCTCTGTTAGCTCAGAAAGGCTACATTTGGCCACAGAATAGCAGGAGGTCTCCATGCAGGCTGGCCCTACAAGGCTGGAGCTAAGCTCCTTGGCACCTCACATAGCAAGATCCACAGTGCTCAGTTTACTGGAAATGGGTCCTTGCTTGCCCTTAAAGCCATGTCCTCCTAAGCTCAGGACAGGCTGACACTACATACTTACTTCGGTATAACTACTTCCCTCGGGAATGTGAAAAATCCGCACTCTTGAGTGATGTAGTTATACCAACCTTAAACCCCTGTGTAGACAGCGCTATGTTGACGGGAGAGCTTTTCCTGCCGACATAGCTACCGCCGTTCACAGAGGCGGAGTTATTAAGCTGACAGGAGAACTTAGAGCATCTTCACCAGAAGCCCCACAGCGGCACAGCTGTGTCAGTTGTTTCTAGTGCAGGTTTCTAGTGCAGACCTGCTTCTTCGTCTTTGCCTTGCCACAGTCCCTCTGAGCGCCTACAGGAGAAAAGCCTTATGATGATTGAGCCCTGCCAAGGAACAGGGCAGCATCCTGGAGCCACTGACCACATCCCAAATGGTGGTAATGAGTAAGGAGCAGCCTGATTCCTAGCTCTCATCACAAGGGGGCTGCAATGGACTGGAATGGATTTGACGACAGACAAAGGGCGTCAGGAAAACTCTACAGCTCAGTGCCAACCCTTGCTAATGGAAAACAGGAAAGTGAGTCAGTAGTGAACAGAAGAACGGCCCTATTGGGTCAGATCACTGATCCATCTAGCCCAGGGTCTTGTCTTCATACAGTGGCCAGTGCCAGAACCTTCAGAGAGCAAGACCGAATGCACTCCTGTATGCACACCATACACACCACTGTAAAAATCTTTGTATAAAATATGCCTCGTGAGGTATCATTTGAAAACAACTTGCGTCAATTATTGGATGGTGAATTTATGTAGCAACATTATATGTAAAGTTATGAATTCCCCTGTATGATGATGTTAGCAAATGTTCAGCCCTGACTAGGCAAAAGCACAGGTCTATCCTAAACAAAGGCGTGTGTATTTACCTCAGTTTACATATAAGTAGTAAGCAGAGTCCTTGAGACAGCAAGAGGGGGAAGTGGCAGGATCCAAGGCAAATCTGCTTTTCGCCATACACAGGGGAGAAGAAAGAGCAAGGAGCCACCTTCACTCCCAGACTCCACATTGCCTTCCTTACTTCTTGAATCTTGAAACTTCAAGAACACCCCAACGTATCCCTCTCTACCCCTCTCTCTCTTTCACCTAACACAACAAAGGAAGCAGCCCTTGGACTCTGGGAGACAGCCTGGCCTGAAAATTTGGTCAGCAATGCTACTGGGAACCTGTGGTAAGGATTTTACCTTGAACCAAGCTGTCACGGAGTGTGGGGGAGTCCAGGCCCTGCACCCCTCTTTCTGGGATTCACTGAGACTCTCAGCCAGCCAGTAAAACAGAAGGTTTATTGGACAACAGGAACACAGTCCAAAACAGAGCTTGTGGGTACACCCAGGACCCCTCAGTCACGTCCTTCTGGGGGAGCAGGGAGCTTAGACCCCAGCCCTGGGGTTCCCTGTGTTCCTCCACCCAGCCCCAAACTGAAAACTAAACCCACCCAGCAGGTTCCCTGCTGCAGCCTCCGTCCACATTCCTGGGCAGAGGTGTTACCTCCCCCTCCCCCTCCCGGCTCAGGTGACAGGCTCTCAGGTCTCCCATCCCCAGGGCACATTCCCAGGTTAACACTCCCCCCTCCCTGCTGAGTCACATCGTCACACAAGTCTAGTTTGTTAAGTTTTAGAAACTAGGAAGCATTTTATCTTTATTTCTCTTGTAACCTTTTCTGAATTTAATGCCTTCTACTTGTATTCACTTAAGATCTAGTTCTTTGTAGTTAAATAAACTTGTTTTATTTTTTTAATCTCAACGAATCCAGTGCTGCGTTTAAACAGAGCTGTTTGGGTAATTCCAGTTAAAGTCGCAAACTGTTGGATATTGACCCCTTACAGGAGCCATGGCCCTCTAATATCTGAACTGTCCAGCAAAGGGCTGGACACCACAGAACATACGTTTGGGGAAAAATCTGGGACGAGGAGTGTGGTGGAGTCACCCTGCAAGTGGGTAACCAAGGCTGCTGGAAGCCGGAGTATGGCTGGGGTGTTGCTGACAGGCTGCTCAGGTCAGAATTGCTGGACCAAGGACCGCAGCTGTACACGGAGACTCAGGCGGTGACCTGCATGCTGTTTGGCAGTTTGTGCGTTTCCCAGATTGGGAGCTACAGCAGCAAACCATTGTGAGGCACCCAAGGTTGCAGGGCAGGTGGTGACAACCCCCTCGCTGGTCTGGATTGCACCCTGGACTATGGCAGAGGGAATGAACAGAACAGGGCACTTATCAAGTCATTCATCCCCAGTTGTCCAGTCCCAGCTTCTGGCAGCCGGAGGTTTAGGGACACCCAGAGCATGATTTTCTATCCCAGACCGTGTTGGCTAATAGCCATTGATGGACCTGTTCTCCCTGAACTGATCTAGTTCTTTTCTGAATACAGCTATACTTTCGGCCTTCACAACATGCCCTGGCAAGGAGTTCCACGGCTTGACTGTGCGTTGTGTGAAGAAGTGTTTCCTTATATTTATTTTAAAACTGCTGTCTGGGATGGGGGGGCCTGAGAGCAACCCCCGGCCCATGTCCCTGCCCCTCAGGCTCCCTGCCCTGGGCAGGTGGAGGGTCTACAGCCCCCCACAGCTGCCCACCCAGCTCTTACCATGGCCTGGCTGCAGCTCTTCGGCCCCCAAGACCCCACCTCCAGGCCAAGCTGGAAGCCGGAGCTGGGTTAGGGTAAAAGGTGAGCAGGCAGCCGTGGGGAGACATGGATCCTCCACCTGCCCTGGGCGAGGAGCCCAGTGGGGTGGGGACATGAGCAGGGGGCTGTTCTCGGGCCCCCGCCCCTCCCCAGGCAGGTGGAGGGTCCAGACTCCCCAGAACTGCCCTGGCTTCCTGGGCCACTCTTACCTGGACTGGGCTCCAGCTTCCAGCCTGTCTGGTGGGTGGGGCCTCGAGGGGAAGAGGAGGGGCAGGGGGTTATGCCTGTGGCAAAAAGTGGATAGTCTAGGCCCATCCACCTTCAAAAGTGGGAGGGCCACGACCCCCTGGACCTCTCTGTTCCGGGGCCCCTGCACGGGCAGTGTGATGTGCTGTCCAGGCACCAAGAGCCCTCTCTTCTCGTGCTAAAGGCTAAAGCAAGTTGAATACAGGAATGCAGGACAGCTCTTAAGCATGTGCTTAACTCTCCTGAAGTGGGATCTAAATAAATAAATGTCAAATAACCCCTCTCCTTTCTGTTGTCCCACTCTCGACCCTGATTCAGTGAACTCGGAAGCAAGACTTTAGCTTTAAGAACATGAATAGTCCCACTAAAGTCACGTGCTTCAGTGCTTTGGCGGATCAGGGACCTACAGTGCTCTGCATGGCCACCGAGTCGCCTCTATTCTTTAATCAGGGATTAGTTCAGAGGCCAAAAAGGCTCCTTGTCTGTGAACAAAAGCTAGAACCATGTAATTACAGAGCTATTTGCTCTCTCCCTTTCTACAGTTTATGGTTATTATTTATTATTGTTTTGCAGTTGCTCCCAGAAGCATGGAAGGCGCCCAGACGCCATGGTGATGAGCATCAGGATAAAACACTGGGAGGGAGGGATGGATATGCAGACCCTTGCTGGGCTGGGTGCTGTACAAACATGTAACAGAGGGTCCCTGTCCCAAAGAGCCTCTGGCCCTACCATGCATTTTGAAAAACAGGCAGCAGCAATACCCAAGCCTTCCCATTGCCATCACCACCACCTTGGATCCCTGCTGCTCCACCTTCGCACTCCAGCGCGGGCTATCAGGAGAAGGGGCAGCCCATGCCCCCTGGGCCCTGCTGGCCTTGCTCACCTGACAGATGGGTATCACGAGGAAGGCCCCGCCCCCTGCACACTCGGTCACGACAGCAATGAAGCGGGGGTTGACAGCGCAGAAGTGGTTGTCATGCACACTGCAGGTGATGGGGACGCAGTCGTAGCACTTCTCCTTGCTAGCAGGCTTGCCGTACACATGGCGGAACTTGGAACTCCGGTACTGAGGGTGCCATGACATCTGCAGCAGTCAAAACACAAGACAGGTGGTGAGGCAGGGACCGTCCCCTTGCTATCGGACGTTGGCGTGGGTTTGAAATTCAGCCCAGCGCCTCCCACTAACTCATGCCTGCTTACACCTGCAGCGCAAGCAGCCCCAGTGCACACCTGTCTGCAGAATGCCGGGTCCTGACCTGGGGGCAGTGCGCACACGCCCCTGGAGCTATTTCTCTCTCCTCTGGTTTGTGACCCCCCCAAACTTCCCCTTTCAGACCACTCACGGGCCCTTCTCCCTTTATCTTATCTTGCCCCACCCCAAGCGCCTCCCAAGGCCACCAGCGCAGTCAGCCAAGCCCAGCCCTGCAGCCACACCCGAAATCAAACTGCCAGCAGCTCAGCAAAGACAGCATTGTGCTCCCCTTCTGGAGAGGGGCCGGATCACTCCAGTACTCACTTGCGATGGTGGGACTGGCCACCTGAGAGCCCTTGCAGTGGGAAGAGATGCCAGGTGTTGTGTTCCTCCTATCCGCCCCCCGCACACACACACACACACACACACCCTAAATTGCCTCTGCCGGGTTAGCCTGGTAGTGTACACCTGCGGAAGGAGGAGTTCTACCAGTGTAGGAACACCACCTCCCCAAACAACAGTAGCTCTGTCAACAGAAGCCGTCTTCTGCCAGCATAGCTGTCTCTACGCTGACGGGGGGGGCGCGGGGGGGGGACTGTCGGCATAGCTGTGCTGCTGGGAAACGTGGGGTTTTCACACTGCTGACCGACAGAGCAATGCCAGTTTAAGCTGTAAGTACAGACCAGGCTTGAGACAGCACATTCTGGACCCAGGCGCTGCCAACTCCATTCTTAGGAGTGACTTGCCACTGAAGGAACTGAAGGCCAAAGGAACCGGCTGCTGCAGTGCCGGGGAGGGAGAGAGGCCTGAGCCAATCCCGGTCCTCTTGCCAGCTTGACTTTGGCACCAATGATCAACTTTTCTCCTGGTGCTTTCAGTGCTTCTTTTTAGGCACCGGAGAAGATCATCGGTGCCAGGACTCCCGACCGGCAGGAGGAGCAATCAACACCAAAGCTGACATGCTTGGTGCTGAGTTTGAGTGCAGCTCCAATGCTGGTCTTAGGGCAGCCTCCAGGAGGAGGATTTTCAACCTCGCTGCCCAGTCTTTCTTGGTGCAGGGTTTGAAGTCTCTGCAGATCTGCCAGTGGTCTTTCCTGTGAGCTTCCCCATAGCACTTGAGACAGCTCACGTGCAGGTCGCTCAATGGCATCAACCTGCCACAGGAAGCGCAGGGCTTGAAGCCCACTGACCGAGGCATACCCCAGCACTGGGGGGCAGACAAGCCTCTCCAACCAAGTGCGAAGGTGTCCGAACACACTAACTACTACTACTAACTATCGACTAAAGGAAACGACAATAACTATGTGAACTAGAGAAGAGACGGAAATCACTGGGAAGAACTGCCTGAGCAATGAGAGGAGTTCCAGCCACCGTCATGGGCAGTAAGAAGGAACTAAAGGGGCATGGGGTCAGCAGGGCCCCTTATACCAGCGCTATGGGCATGTGGCATCAGAGGGCGCTGGAGCCGAACCAAGGGATACCACTAAGGGAAAAAATTCCAGTAACTGTGGTTGGGGCACGCGCACACCTACATTGGGATGGACATGTGCAAGCATGTGAAGAAGCAGCAGCAGCAGAAGCCTATACCTCTCCAGTTCTTCAGATTGACAGGATCTCCTTTCTTCAGGATGGATACAATTATTGTCTTTAGCCAGTCATCCAGTATCTTCTCTTGCACTCATACCATCTTATTTATTTTTCCTAATGCTTTGAGAGCACTTGTCCCACCAGCTTTTAGCAGCTCTGCTGTTCTATTGTCTGTTCCTGCAGCTTTCCCATTTTTAACGGTTTCACTGCTCTTTCTATTTCTTCTTCTGGCGATGGTTCAGTGCTGCTATCCATTCGGTCTTGCAAGCTGCCCTGTTCATCTAGCATGTCTTGAATGGTTGCCTCTGGATGACCTACAGGAGTCAGCCCTTTGTCAAAATGCTCCTTCCATACTTCCAGCACCTCATCAACCTTTGTAGTCCGTTCACCGGTACCTTCCTTGCTGCTTGCATCGTTGGCCTGATTGTGTTTTCATACAACTTATCTTTTTTGTATATTGTTTTCAGATCTTGTTTTTTTGACATCTCCTGGAATTGTTGAGCCTCTTCTTTTCAGAGCTTTGGCTTGTCCTATCTTTGGGATTTCTTCACTGCTTTGTGCAATGCTTTTACTTCCTGTACTTTCCCAGAAGTCTTGGCTTGTTTGCAGGTTTCCTGGAATATTCTCTTTTCGTTGCTTGACAAGGTTTTCCTGACAACAAACTGAGCTTGTTAAGTTATTGGAAGGCATAAGTTAACAAGGAAAAGCTGGACAAGCAATGTTGGGTGCAATGTGATATTAATGTAATAATACAATGTTGACTTCCAAGGAGTTATGACAATTTACATCAGATGAGCATCTGCCCCTTTCATTGCAAGTATCTCAGAAGAAGGACTATGGGCTACATCCTGAGAATACTAGTCAGTTTTTTGCTGAATCCTTATTCAGACAAACGCTAGCTCACTGGGAGTTTTGCTGATTAAAAACGTAGTCAGGCCTGCCTTTTCCTGCCCCTTGCTCAGTGCTGCATATACCCCCAGAGTGTCACCAATTATCCCAACAATACACTGGGGGGTCTTCAGCTCAATACAGCTGAATCCAGCTCCCAAGGGTCAGTGCATGAGACAGGCTGCCCTTCTGCTCCCCTGGCAATGCAACTGCCCTAGGGCCAGAGATTACCTGGCTTTAGTCTAGGTGACCAGGTGTCCAGTTTTCATAGAATCAGAGAATATCAGGGTTGGAAGGGACCTCAGGAGGTCATCTAGTCCAACCCCTTGCTCAAAGCAGGACCAAGCCCCAATTTTTGCCCCAAATCCCTAAATGGCCCCCTCAAGGATTGAACTCACAACCCTGGGTTTAGCAGGCCAATGCTCAAACCACTGAGCTGTCCCTTCCCCTGCAAAGGTAAGACAGGAAACACAACCTCAGGGAGGGCTTGTCCAGAACACCCTGTTGAAGAGGGACCCTGGTACATAGGCGCTGACTCCGTGGGTGCTCCGGGGTTGGAGCACCCATAGGAAAAATTAGCAGGTGCTCCACACCCACCGGCAGCCAAGCTCCCCCCTCCTTGCCTCCTTCTTCCCCCCTGAGTGCGCCGCATCACTGCTGCTCCTCCTCCCTCCCAGCACTTCCTGCTCCCCCACCGACTAACAGCTGTTTGGCGGTGCTTAGGACTTTCTGGGAGGGAGGCGAAGGAGCAGGGACACGGTGCACTCAGGGGAGGAGACGGAGAAGAGACGAGGCAGGGGCGGGGACTTGGGGGAAAGGGTGGAACGGGGCAGGGCAAGGGTGGTGCAGGGATGGGGCCAAGGGTGGTGGGGGTCGAGCACCCACCGGGCAGAGGGGAAGTTGACGCCTATGCCCTGGCGGGTCCGGTCACCGGTGCTAAGGCAGGCTATTCCCTACCTGTCCTGGCACTGTGCTGAGCCCCAGAAGCGGCCAGCAGGTCCGGCTCCTAGACGTGGGAGCTATGGGTCTCCGCGCACTGCCCCCACCCCCCACCTACTAGCACTGGACCTGCTGGCCACTTCCAGGATGCGTGCAACTCAGTGTCAGGACAGGCAGGAAGCCTGCCTTAGCCCCGTTGTGCTGCTGACTGAGAGCCACCTAAGGTAAGCCCGCACCTCAACCCCAAGCCCCAACCCCCTGCCCCAGCCCTGAGCCCCCCCCAAACCTGGAGTCCCCTCTTGCACCCCAAAACCCTCATCCCCAGCCCCATCCCAGAGCCTGCAACCCAAGCCCAGAGCCTATACCCCCTCCTGCACCCCAACCCCATGCCCAAGCCCTGAGCCCCCCCAAACCTGGAGCCCCCTCCTGCATCCCAAACCCCTCATCCCCACCCCCACCCCAGAGCAAGCACCCCCAGCCCAGGGCCCTCACCCCCTCCCAAACTCCAACTCCCTGCCTCAACCCACAGCCCCCTCCCACTCTCCGAATCCCTCAGCCCCACATCCCAGCCTGGAGCCCCCTCGTGAACCCCAAACCCCTCAACCCCAGCCCCACCCCAGAACCCGCACCCCAAGCCAGAGCCCTCACCCTCCCTGCACTCCAACCCCCTGCCCTAGCCCAGTGAAAGTGAGTGAGGGTGGGGAAGAGCGAGCCACAGAGGGAGGGGGAATGTAGTGGGTGGGTGGGGGGGGCCTCGGGCAAGGGGCAGGGCTAGAGTGTTTGGTTTTGTGCAATTAGAAAGTTGACAACCCTATTTTAGTCTCCTGTTTGTGACATGTACACATCAAGCCAAGCTATGGGAGAGTGAGCTTTGCAAGTGGTCTGAGTTCATTGACAGTGGCTAGCAGGCAGAGCGAGGAGACGAAACCAGCAGCAATTACCATGCCTAGGGCTAGGCTCCATGCAGAAGTGGCTCTGGTACAACTTACACCAGGTTTCAAAGCAATTCATTAAAACGGTGCAGACTGCAGCGTGGACATGCAAATCCATTACAGTGTGCTTCCTGGGTTTAGCTTCACGTAGTTAGTATCTTACACCAGTGTCACTGGGAATGAATCTGTAACGTGACCCTGTAATTAGCCAGGGTTCAACCCATTTGAGAGAATCCGCATGGGGGTTCACACCAGTTCAACGAAATCTGTGTAAAAACACCCCTGTCGATAAACTAGGGGGTGAATCAGCGAGGATCCGCTGTGGAGGGGATTTCTGAAATGGGTGTAATCAGATTCTGGCAGCAAATCCTTTCCAGGATACTGAGGAAACCACAATGTGTCAAAAACCAAAAACAAAACCCAAAGAAAACAATCCCTCTCAGCTGCGATGCCAACTGAAACTCAGCATCCCAGAAAGAGAGAGACTGAAACCACACCACAAATGCCTCCAGTTCTGCCAATCTAAGAGCTACACCCCGGCTCCTG